TCCGTCAGAGAGGGTAGAGGGGAAGAGAAGATATCGCTCTTCGTCGGTGTGCATCCGGTATGCCATGGTAGACTCAAAGAGGTTAAGGTGTTCAATCGGGTACTTCTTTCCAGTATAAAGTTGCAAGCCAAGCTTATGCTTTGTCTTTGCTTAGAGGGCGTGTCGATGATCCTCCTGGTAAGAGGGCCAGGCTTAGGTTGGTTCCAATCAGGTATCTCAGCTTGTCGTTCGGCCTTCAACTAGTTTACTTCCTTAAGAAGCTGTAGGACAAAAGGGTCCTGAGTGGAGTCATGTACCACTGGAGCTTTCTTTCGTAAATCTCCATCTCCTCTTGGAAGTAGGAAAGTTTGATCAAGAACATGTGATTTTTCCCTGGACTCGCTGTATTGACTTTCAAGGTATGTCTGTCGAAACATCTCTGAGTCCCATATCCTTCGTATTTTTCTAGGACTTGTTGCCCCTTCCCCAAATTGGTAGCCGGCCTGGGACGTGGGAGGGGACCGAGTCTTTCAGAAACCCTTGGGTCATTGATCTTCGAGCTTATGTGGAGGAGATTTTCTCGACGTTGCTTTAGGAAGTCTCAGCAGTAACGATAAATGGCTTTCGATCCTTCCAACCTTTCTGCAAGAAGGTGTCTTCCTCCACTTCTCCTGCTTCTGGTCGAAGCAGCTGGGTTGAGAGAAGTCTAATGTTGATCAATGTTTTGATGATTAGCTCGCTCCTCATCAGGGATACCTATGTCGAATGAAGGTGACCCTCCTTGTTAGGAGGCATCCAGATGATGGTTGATGTCCACAGGGGTAACGAGTTCACGTGTTTGAGTACGCCTAGTTTCGTGGAGCATCTCAAATAGCTTCTCATACTGCTCCTGGAGGACCTTATTCTTCATTGCTATCTTGTTGTTTTGAGATTGTAGCTTATCGACTTTAGCTTGAAGAGCAACCCTCTTTCCTTCATTCTTTCGTTGCTTCGCACTAGGTGCAATAGGGGTGTCATTCTGTGTGCTGTGGCTTCATTTGCTCCCCATGTTGGAGAGGGATGCCTGGTCAAAAGAGAGTGTACGAATGGTGAAAACCAGCTTAACAAAGCTAAAAAGAGTGAGAATAAGTGTCGTTCCCATAGACGGCGCCAAATGTTGATGCACAAAATCAGTGAGGACTTTAGTACAACAGAAAATGTTAAGTTTGTGACCTTCGCTAGATTGCTCCGGTCACTAGTATGGATAAATATGTAAATGGATAGAGATAGGGAAGCAAACACAATATGTACGTGGTTCACCCAGATTGGCTACGTCTACGGAATAGAGGAGTTCTCATTAATTGTGAAGGGTTTACACAAGTACATAGGTTCAAGCTCTCCTTTAGTGAGTACAAGTGAATGATTTAGTACAAATGACATTAGGAAATATTGTGAGAGAATGATCTCTATTTATAGAAGAGAGTTTCTAGTTTCATTCTAACATTGACACGTGTCGTGTTGTGATTGGCTTCTGATGTTGACACGTGTTGTGCTATGATTGGCTTCTGATGTCGACACGTGTCGCGCTGTGATTGGCCTCCTGGTTGGAGGGAAACTCTTCTGGGTCATTGACAGTATAACGTTGACAGGTGCTTAGTAGTTTCGGGATTGGTCAAGTATGGTACAAACACGCTCTATGTTAGGGGTCCAAGTAGGATACTTTAGGAAAACTTAACCTTCAAAATATGCATGCGTATGTCATAAATAATTTGAAGAACTACGTAAGATTGTTAAGGTGACGGTGGAACGTAGTGCTTAATTCAATTTTCAAAACCATTTTCTTTTGGTTTATTTTATTTTGTTGATTTATTTAATTATTTATATTAAATTTTTATTATTTTAGGTCATTAAATAAACATTTTTCAAATTTTGTTTTAAATAATTAACTAAGATTTGGTTTGACATAAATTATTTATTCAATCGTTGTGGAGAACGATATTGCTAGAGCCGACTATACTACAATTACCTTGTACTCTAGCAAGTATTTTAAGTGTATAGTCGGCTCTAGCAATTAATTAAGACAGGATAAAAACACTTAAAATACTTGCAAGAGTACAAGGTAATTGTAATATAGTCGGTTCTAGTAAGGTCATTCTTCACAAGAATTGAATGAATACTTTATGTCAAACCAAATCTTAATTAATTATTTTAAAATAATATTTGGAAAAAGGTTGATTTAATGACCTAAATAATAAAAACGAATTTAATAGAAATAATTAAATAAATCGGCAAAATAAAATAAACTAAAAGAAAACGGTTTTGAAAATCGAATAATTAAGCACTAGAGTTCTGCCATCACCTTAAGGGGGCGTTTGTTTGCCCTCACTAAGTGGGACTGGACTGGACTGGACTAGCTGTTAGTACAATACCGTGTTTGTTCTATGCTGGGACTAACATTAATGAGATTAAAGGGGACTAGCATGGACAAAACCCTTCATTAAGAGGTCTTAGCGAAACCCCCCAATAACCATGAGACTAGCTAAGACTATTCTCTCTCGTCCTTGTCATGCTCAACAACCACTCCTGATAGACTCCTCGTCATCTTTGGTCACCTAGATCATAATAAAATATTAATAATTTATATATTAAATAATATAATATTATAATTTGTTATTATCCAACTTCTTAGTCCAACACTGTACCAAACGCTTCACTAAGTTAGTCCAGCTTAGTCTAGTCTAAGACAGTCCAGCTTAGTCCTTGAAGCTAGTCCAATCCGAGATAATCCGGCGCAACAAACGCCCCCTAACAGTCTTAAGTAGTTATTCCAATTATTTATGACTTACACATGCATATTTTGAAGGTTAGGTTTTCCTAAAGTATGCCTACTTGGACCCCCAACATAGAGCGTATATCAAACATACAATCCATTTGTGGTATTCATATCAAATCTAAACATGCAATACCCATTAAGTTTCGTGGAACCTTTTGAAATACCATGCAACCATTAAAACGTGGTATTCATCTTAAGTGAACTTGCACATATATATTAACCACAAGAAGCTTTCGTCAATCTCAGGGACCAACCTCCGACTAAAATTGCATCAAATTACCTTTCTAAATATTTTAATGGTGATCAAACATCAAGACAATTAAATAGTTTAAACCACTGATTAATAATTAGAACCTGCATGCATAATATCATAAGTAAATTGAAAAGAAACTACATATTTTTGTTAAGGCTCGTGACCTCACCCTAGCAAATGGAATTAGTTACGAATAATCATAAAACAAAATATTATTAAAAATATGGATAGAAAACACCTTAAAATACAAATCGTCAAAGCCTAGCTACGTTCTCTAAATTGATGTGTTCTTCTCCCTCTTCTTAAACCCTAATGGCTGAATAGCCTTATTTATACTACTACAAAATAAAATCCATATTAGAAAATGTTTTCTAAAAGCTAGGAAACATAATAGAATTAGATAATTAGGAAATACATTCCTATTTTAACTTTAGGAAATCTGCCCAGCCACAACAATCCGACATTTATGGATCTTCAGAGCACCAAAACAGGCCCAAAATGGCTTAATTAAAGCTTAGGAAGTCCCGAAGATAATTGCAGAAGGCCTCCAATCCAAAAGACATCATCTTGGACACCAAAAAGCTCAGATAAGCCCAAAACGTCACTTTAACAGCACCGCCCGCTGACCCTTTATTTCACTGCCATAAATAAACCGCTTGATAGAAAAATTTGAAACTTTGACACGAACAAGTTGAGAGATATACGAACATCCTCCAACTGAAATCACTCCAAAATCTGTTCGTTTGATCACGTTTTGCTCCAGTGGAAGTTGAATGTTCTACATTGAAAATATAATTCAAAGTATTAAAATTCTCATAAAATAACCAATAAATTAATACTAAAAATAGGGTAAAATATATTATATAATCCTTGACTCATCAGTATGCATTTCATAAACCAACGAAGACGTTCCACAATCCTCAAACCAAGCGAAGTGGTGCAGTGAGGCACACCATTAGCTTGGTGTCTTGTCCATCTCCATCGGTGAACACGGGACGATAGATCATAGAGTTCCCGAGCACCCGTAATTATGTCACCGTGCAAGCATGTAAAAGGGACAATCATCTCTATGATCACTTGGTGAAACCCAAACTTGCAGCAAGATTCAAACCTTCAATGGCACCAGCTGTTTCAGATAAAAGCGGAGAAGGACACACACAGTGAGCCACTACACCTCTGAAAATACCTGATTCATCTCGAATCACTACTCCCAAGCCAGCGCTTCACGAAGAACCACACCAAGCACCATCAGAATTCACCTTAACAAAACCTCTACCAAAAGCCTCTTCGATTCTCTAAATTACTCTCTTTGGCTCTAGCGGCACATCATTGAACACAAGAGCACATCTTGCTTTTCAAATCTCCCAGCAAGTAATGCTAGCTAGCGAAAGAAAAGTGTCCAGCTGCTCTCCCTTCTCCCATCTCGAAATTTCTTTCAAAACCAAGTGGTCACTTCATTATTTTTCACCCTGCAATTCACAGTACCAAAGTCTATGCACACTGGAAAATTCAGAATGCGAGGAATGGCTTAAATCTTCCATAAATCCTCCTAACCGTGCAGTTGTTAATAAGTAGACTAGCACAGTCCACTGAATCCTGTGTGGCCTTCAACTACTATCCTTTATAATTTGCATGACGATGGCTTTTTCAGCTCAAATGAAAAAAAAAAAAAAAAAAAAAAAAGAAGAAGAGTATGGTCTTTTACACTACAGTATACTTTTAAATGAAGTGAAATGACATGATACATCCTCTATCAAGGTACCAAACAAGTGGCAAAACTTCTAGTAAGTCATCTAAACATTCCCACCATGCAAGAACGATATGTAACACGTTGATTCTACAAGAAAACAATGTAAAACTGCAACTTATACTTAATTACCGAGTATGTACGAGAAATAAGAGCTAAGAAGCATATGATCTTCTATGGATTATTGAGACGGTAACACAACAAAAAAGGACGGTAAAAGAGCATCATTCACCTTCATTTCCTTAACTCAAATTAACAAGTTTTTATTGAGACGGTAACATGATAGCAACAATGACCGGTTGAAAACTAAACTACATCAATACATAACACCTACTACATGCCTTAAACAAGTGCAACTATACAACACTTACATATTTACAGGAGCGCATCCAACATCCACAAAATCTCAATTATTTCTAAAACTAAACTCGAGAGATAGGTGTTTTAATCTTTTTCCATAAAACTAAACAAAAGGAAGAGACAGGTCTCACAAGGTTAGAGTGCTTCAAAGGTCTTCTTCCAGAATATTGACTAAGCACGGGATGTCTCTCATGATCCAGTTAGTGCACACACAAACAGCACTTGGGCTCCGAAGCTATTAATGCCTTCCCAAATCAATATGATCTCTTCCTAGCCCAAGCGAGGAAGGCTCCAAGGAAGCTTCTGACCTCCTCAAATCTAATTCCACTTCCTTCTGTCTCAGTTGCAATACCCTTCTCTCGTTCTCTAATTTCATTCTCTCATTCTCCAGTCTCAGCCTCTCCAGTTCCCTGTCTTTCTTGCTACAATATCTCAGCCATTTATACCTTTGCTTCTCAATCTCCAAAGCTTCAGCATGGAAGCTGACTCTTTGCTCTTCAAGTTGCAGCTTCTGTTTCTTGATCCAATCTCTTCGTTCCCATAACGACTTTGTTGTGTCCTGAAAACAGTCACCCACTTCAACTTCAAAACTATCGAGAGGAACATGTTGTGGCCACAAATGGCCATCTTCTTCCCTAGCCTTCTTCCTCTCACTCATTCTTCTCATTCTCTCCCTATCATTATCAGCATCGTTATGATCTTCGTTGTCCAATTTATCATCCTCACTATCATGGTTTTCTTCAGCTTCTTCTTCCTCGGATCCGTTAATGTCTTTTGAGCACCTCCCAAGAGGTAGGGAATAGCCATGGGGATTGAGATCTTGGCAGTCAGATATCCTCTGTCCATTATGATAAGCACACATTTCTTTATAAAACAAGTGTTTTGAGCTCAGTATCTTCCTAACGTCATCCATCGCCTTGGCAGAGAGGTGGGGCATTGCATCCATAAGAGCAGGATTCTCTACCACTCTACAAGTAGTTCCTCTCCCGAGAATATCGTTCAACCTCTTATACCTTTTGTTCAAGTCATTAAACTTGTCTTCACACTGCTGAGGAGAAACATGACAACCTTTACTAATCATTATTTGCGACACAGTCTTCCACTTACCCTTCTTCTGTAATATCCTAGATTTCCTCTTAAGCCCCTCACCACCTTCAACTGAACCATCATCACCCACGCAAGCAACAACATCTATAAGAAGCCTGACCACATTATCTGTCCACTTCATCCGCTGCCATCGAGATCCCTTTTTTCCCTTGGCACCTTCAATGCTCTCATCATCTGTATAATTTTGTTCATCGTCATCACTCAAATTGTAACCGTTATTGCCATTAAACGAAGCAACTGCCTTCCCTTTGGCAATAGTCGAACCAACTTTTGGGACTGACTCTTTCACTTCCACAAGCCCAATAGGATGACGATCGCCTGCAATGCCGCCGCCCCCCATCACATTCATGTTATGTTGGTGATGTCCTAACAATCTAGGAACCGGCAATTCAAGGTCTAGTATCCCCCCACTGGGACCAGACAAAAACCCACCTCCCAAACCCGAACTATCCATCTCGCCACACTCGATCACAACATCCTAATGTTCAATTTGGTTTCTTACAAAAAGCAACAAAAAATCAGCAAGTAAAAGCTTTCGATCATCACAATCAACTGAAAAGCCATATCTCAGCTGTTTATTTCAATCAGCAGCACCGAAAACAACTGAAAGGTTTAACACTCACAGTTTCTTTCATTTTCCTACATTTTCTCACCAACCAAACAGGTGATATCTCGAGATTCACATATTCCCATTAGACCAACAAATGCCAATCACTAGATGGCTCTTCAAGGAAATACCTTGAAACCCAATAAACCAAACTTAGAAACGCCAAAAAGATCCAATCTTGAAGTTTACCCAATAGCGAAAATTTTCCTAGAAAGTTGAACAAAGGAGTGATATAGCAGTAATTAATCCAAATTCCAAAAATGAAGGTAAATTTAATCCAAATCCCAAATATATTGGGAAAAAAAAAATCCAAATTTCGAATATAGAATCCATATGAAAGAAAGCGCATAGATTTTTGGAAGCTTACCTTTTCAAGATCGACAAGACGATTTCAGCCGATCAATAGAGAGAGCTCGAACTGAGTTCAGAGAGAGGTGTCAGCGATGAGTTAAAGGAGTGACTAGTTTTAGACTGTTTTGAGTTTGAATCGGAGGAGGTAAAAGTAGAATGTACGAAGAACTCAATGCCGTTTAATACATTTACATTGATTGTATCAAAGTCAAATGCAATGAGCAGAGGTGGCGGTACGTCGGGTAAAAGTAGAATGTACGAAGAACTCAATGCTGTTTAATACATTTAATGTGATCGTCACACGATGTGGTATACAACGTGTTACCATATAAATGATGAGATATATGTATTAAAAAATTAATAACTTAAAAATTAAAATTTTTCATCACTTACATAAAAAAAATTGGTGTACCATCCATATTTCCGTCACAATTAAAAATTTCTCGTATGAATGAGCATAAAAACCATAGAGATGAACCGAATCACGACAAAATAAATTGTGAAAAATTGTGTGAACCAGAAAATTTAATTTTGGTCAAAGAACCGAATTGGTTCAGACCAGTTTTAGTCCTGATCATGGTCTAATCCATAATATCTCGATATTTCCATCGAAATTTCCTTGTTTTTGGATTACTAATATTTTTTTGGACTACCGATATTTCCGATATTGTCGATATTTGAGACCTTACTAAGTCACTCATATATCTTACCATGCAATGTATAAAGTGTAAAATATTGTACTAATTCATTTTATATAAATGATTATGGTGTTTAAACTTCTTTCATTAATTACTATATATTTTCTACACTCACAATGTTTGTCAGCTCGCTATATAATCAACTTAAATCAGTTGTATCTATCATGCAATGCATTTCCTTCCAATTTTTTGTGATAAACTAATAAATAATTGACTAAATAAACATCCTGCAAAGTTTCAATAAAAATTTCCAAGTTTTTCTTACAATTTCCGTGGTTTTTATTCAATTTTTATCGATATTGATAATATCCCGATATTTTCATAGAAATTTCCGTGTTTTTGGACTACCGATATTTCCGATATCATCGATATTTAATACCTTGGTCCTGATGCATACATTGTGAGAACTGAATGGACTAAACAAAAACGTGTATATTCTATAATTTGTTTTAATCTAACCTACTTATTAATAAAATTCTGTTTGTCAACAAACAAATGATAAAAAGACAATTTGGTCTTTTATCACAAAATAAAATCATGGGCAATAATGTAATTTTAAATACATCAAACCATCTTAAAATCTAATTTGTCATTAAACTTCTGTTAGGGCTCAAAAATCTCGCATGCAAGCCAATGATATCTCAAAGCTCGAGTATCATAAAAGTGCCACGAGCCAAGTTTAAATCCATGCAAAAGTACGGGATCAAAGGGTATGTAAACTTACGATCACGCCATGCTAATAAAATAATAATTTATAAGAAAATTGTTATTAGCACTTAAAAATCTCATTTTACAATCAAAACTTTCTACACTTAGAAAGAAAAAATATTTTTGAAGAGTGTAGAATGAGATTTTTGGAATGCTAATAACAGTTCTCATTTATAAATTGGGTGTTTGTATAATCTTGCCAAGCCATGTTACATCGTTGACGCCATAGACAAGTCATGCCAACCACGTTACAGGTTAACATGGATCAAGCCACATATCGGGGCTTGCCAAGTGAATTGTGATGTGGATGGTTAGAAAAGTTTACTAGGCCCATGTGAAACTAAGGTTGTGAAAGAGTTTGGGCTGCTTGGGACTTGGGACCAAAGGTCCAAGGCCATAGTCTTGGCTTCACGTGGGACAGTTTGGGAGAGAACATACCATATTTCCTCTTCCCTTGCCAACCAAATAGGGCACTTAAGAAAAAGCCAAAACCCAGAGACAATCCGCATATAGAATTGCATTCAAACATGGAACTGGGCACCTCATTAATGAGAAGAGAATGAGTCTTTCCTTTCCAAGCTTACGCATGAAAACAAGGAAGGAAAGTAAAGTTGAGTGTTGCCAAAAGAAATGTATATGGAAATTGACCACAAGTAAGGGTGCTCTGTGCAGTGTGCTCAAGCCAGTGTTCACGAGGCTAGCATCGTCCTCCAATGTTACACTAAAAAGGAAAGTCACAGTTGCATTCATAGAGAGGAAGGATGGGGACTTAGCAGGAATAGGAGTGGGGAAATCAAAGAGATTCCCTAATGAAAGTTGGAAGGTAACCCTATTCTTATATAACTACAGAGATAATTCAACATGAAGAGAGGACATACCACGTAGGGAGAGGATCAACGCAACACTGCACCAGGCAGTGCAAGCTTTTCTTCAAGTGCAAGAAACCTTGATTCTTGAAGAAGGAATTCTCCTAGTTTTCCACAGATTTCTTCAAGCTTCGTAGATTTCCTTAGCCACTACGAATATCCCTAGAACATAAAAAACCTAGATTAGCCATTCCAAAAACCAAGCAAGCATGCAATGAGTTCTCTCCCATGCTAAATTCGTAAGCTTTTAGCTTCCACATCACGCCTCGCTTAGGTAAGCCATAATTTGTATTAAGCATTCATTCTTTGAGCCATTGATCCAACTAAGATAGTTCCTAAGACACATTAATTCTTTTGAGGTATCTCAGGACTCGGTATTGGAAATGAACAACGAGAGCCGACCATTGAGACCCAAATCCAACTCGATCAAAAAGTCCCCAACAACTTCAAAATTTACTAATCTAATGAAGTATCTAACTCAATTTTAGAAATCAAACGAAGCCATAGTGTTTTCTACTAAACTTGTATTTATTTGTTTAATTTTAGACAAAGTCGAAGCATTGGACCTTGAATTTTGATTGAATTGTAACTTTAGTCTAGGAATTAAAATTAGTCCACAAACTTGTCACAATGTAATACAATAGAACACTATATTGTGGATAAAAGGTTTAATGGTGTGACACCAGAAGGTCGATTATTTCACATCATGACCAGTTCAAGATCAACATTCATGAATTTTTTACTTAGTGACTTAGGTCCAATGACTAGTGCTCCAATTTTGATTGTTAGAGCAAAACAAAGGCCACACGGCATATCGTTTTGGTTCCTTCTCTCTTAGTATGCAGGACTGTAGATATTCCTATTGGGTAGGCCTGTCATTCGTGTTGTGTTTCCCGTGTTCGTATTGTTTTCATGTCATACCCGATATCTTAATAGATCGTGTCGTGTAACACCCATTAAAATAAACGGGTAAAATGACCCGACCCGAAATTGACCCAATAATATTAACAAGTAATATGACCTGACCCATTACTCGTTAAGGAAAATATATTTTAAACCAATAAATAATCAAATGCAAAACATAATACTAAATAAGTATATAGATATCATATTATCACATTCAAAACATAAAAACGCATTTGTCTTTCAAGTATTACATATTTACATACCCAAAATAAGAGCATAACAAAAAATAAAAACAACATTAGAACATTACAAAATATCAAAAGTTCAAAAGATTTGCAAAATTAAGGGAGTTATGTTTCAAGGTTTGGAACCTTGCACATTTTCTTACAATCAAACTCTTAAATTTTCATCAATCACCATGGGAAACGGTATTGGAACTTTGGCTTGATATATTATCTTTAAGAGTTATATTGATGATATTTTCAGTGAGGCTTTCTACATTAGCACTCTCTTCTCATTTATCATATGGCTATTGTTTAAGTAAAGTCTTTAATAGTTTTTTAATTAATGTAGAAGTGTGACAATGACAAGCTTTACAATGTTCGTGAAGGGGTTAACTTTGAAATGTGCCACTATAATCATATAAATCATAGATCAAAATTTAACCGTCAATTGTTGTTTACATTTATGTTTCATTTTTCTCACCAAATTTTGTTTTTTCAGATTTTCTTTTTTGAAAACATGATCTATTAGAGGATACAGAAAAATGAACGGTTCGGATCATTGATATTATATTCAGAGTTTTACCGTTAGTGAAAATATTGCTTGGTGTTTATAAAGTCTATACAAACTATATAATACCAACTCATATTTCAATTAACTGTAAATATTGGGATGTAATATTAAAGATCTGAACCGTTGATGCGAAATATATAACTAAGCACACAAATTAAACCCTCTTTTTATCAATTGTAGTAAAGTATGTAAGTAGGGATCGTTCTAGGCCGGGGATTAGGAGGGATTGCTAAATCACTTGGAAACTGACTTGAAAACGTAAAAACAAAGTTTAAAACACTAACTAGACTCAAAGAATGCAAACTATACTTTAAAACACTAAAACAAACCAAAAGACTCAAAACAGCCCCTAAACACTCAAAACTACCTTAAACACACAATCTGGGCAATTTTGGGACTCTAACACAAACTTGGACGAATTTTGGTTTTCTAATGAACTAAAACACTTAAAAACATAATCTAAGACAAGTTCTAATTAATATGACTCAAAGAAATAAGATGGGGTTGATTTTGGACGAAAATAATTAAATTAAGACAAGAACAAAGTAAACAAATTCTTAGACAAATTTAAGTGAATCAAAACAGATTGTAAAATGAATTTGAATGAAACTTATGGATAGAAGGCTAGCTAGGAGGTTCTTCTCCACACATGTCACACTTGCATACAAAACGATTTCCAGTTGCTTTTCGATAAGCTATGAATACTCAACGCCCCAAATTAACCGTGAATTGCACTAATTAACCCTCAGTTTTTCCACAAGTTATTGGATTGGATGATTGCATACGACAACCCAAAACATTCCCTACAAGTTCCATACATGAATTGCATAATAGAGATACAAGCACGAATCATTAAGTTCTATGAAAAACATAAGCATTGACGAGGCACTCGTTACTATGATTTGCATGAAACTTATGCCAAGAATTTACTTAACGTGATTGTGACTAGCAACCTTCACTACTTGTGAATATAAGTTCATAACGATTAGGTGAAACTCCCTTACATTCTAGCGTTAAATTCATGCATGAAAATTAAGCGTGCACTCTCAACCAACATACACAAATCATTTTTTATACGATCGGATAAGTAAATTGAATTCACAACTTATGAATCACAACTGGATGTAATCAAATCATATTGCAAGTACGAACATGGTTTCGAATCACCCCCTAACTAAGAGGGGTTTAGTTCCTCATACTCACAAGCAAAGA